ATATATATATTCAAAGACATTGCATTGCAAAACTGCAATAAATCTGAGGCCTATTTGACCCAAACAGGCAATACTTTGCTGTATTATTGTTATTACTATTATTGTTTAACTGTAGATAAAAGATGCAACTACATTTTCTTAGTACAGAAATATATTTACATGTACATTTATGCATTTTATCCAATAAATTGTAAATTGTAATACTTTACAATAAGGTTCTATTTGTTAACAACTGCTTTATGAATATAAAAACCAAAAGGAATGGTATTCTTTGTAAAGAAGACACTCCAAGCTTTCAAATGAACCCATATATGGGCTGATACCATATAAGGAAGCCTATGTAAATGAAGCATAAACATTTTTAACGTCATTTTGGACCCGTATCCGGGTCCGCAGAGTTTAACTGGTTTTAACATCAACTAACAATAAAAAAAAATACTTCTGGAGAATGTATTACTATACGTTAATAGCTAATTCTAAGCTAATACATTTAAATCAAACATTGTATTTTTTAATATTATTTAACTAACATGTTTTTTGTTTTTGGTTTTTTAACTAACATTAACAAAGATGAATAAATCTTTAATTTATTTAAGATTTAAGATTAATAAATCTTAAATCTGCAACATGTATTGATCATTAACAGTTAATGCATTAAGTAACATCAATTAATGGGAACTTACTGCAATGTGTTATCATATAAATATGATACAATTAAATATATTTTTAATTTTAATAATAGATTAAAATATTTTTTATTTATTTTAAATAGACTTTAAATATTTTCTGTTATTTGAAATGTTGAACTCTCTCTTGTTTGAATGCAGGACCGTAAGAAGATTGAACTCATCATTATGGACTACGAGGCCCAGCTGGTGGAAATGCAGCGCTGTTTGCAATTCATCATCGAAGGTCTTTGTCGATTGCGCTCTCATCCGCTGCTGCGACGGAACAACTACTACACCGGTGACTGGGAGGTACGACGGGCCCTGCAGACCCTTAGCTTAGTGAGCGACCCGGTAGATCGAGCGGAAGAAATTATTCACCACACGCTGGCCAAGTTAGCCAGTCTGCAGAAAGGAATAGACAAGTACTTCACTAAAGACTCGAAAGAGGTGAAGAAGGGCTGTAAGAAGGAGGTGACGGCTGAAGTGCGGAGCCTGGCCAAACAGCTTCACGAAGGTTTAGCGGAGCTCAACTCCATCAGAGAACAACTGCTCGACGCAAGTGGAAACATCTAGTAAATGTCACAGTTTTTGGTTCCAGCTGTCTGCGCTCCCATTGGCTGTCGCTGCAATGCTTTGCTGCTCATTTGCATAAAACGGAATGGTGATTCTCAGCAAGTTCCAACTCTCAATGAGATTAAATGAAGTCCAGCCGCTTTGTTGATGCAAATCGCTGTCAGTGTGAACGCATCTTACAACTTAACCATAACTGGATTCAGCTATCGAATTGAGTTCTCTGGATGATACATGTAATGAAACATGAAATCCATTCAGCACGCCAATGATTACAAGATTCCTCCACATAAATAGGCTATTTAAGAGTCTTATAAAAATGTGAGCGTTTTCCCATTTAACCTCAGTTCCCATCGTGTTTTACTGTGTGGCTCCCATCATGATTGCTGTACGGCCTGAGAACAGTCTTCTAAATTATTTCTATTTGCCTATTTTTTTATGTAACATTGTTCGCAGCCATTTGTAATTTGAATGTGCGCGGCTTCATTCGCTTCCAGTTATTTTAACTGTACAAAACAGCTCGTGATGTTGCTTCATATTGTAAACTGGCATTTCTTATTATACTTTAATTCACTATCGTATTTATAAACACGCTGGTTTGTAGCGCAAATACTTCTTTCTTTACTAGAAGTAGAATACTTCTACTTTGTTATTCTTGTAGGCAGTTTATCGATAGCGGCTAAAGAATCGGACGTCTCGCACTTTCAGATTCAAAATTCATTCACGTTGCAAAATAAGGATATGTTGTCACAAATTACACCACATTGTATTTGTATTGTACAACTGTAGCTACTGCTGTGGTCACAGTTTGTGGTTAAACTCCAGTTTTTGTTCACAATCCTGTTCTGCATATGGTGAGAGTGAAGCCACAGATGAATTACGTTTATGTCCTAGGAGATTGTACGCTTTGGAAGAAGTGCATTTTTTTTTTATTTAACTCTTGTCATATGCTCTTGTTTTGCACATTAGCAACCCTAAAGCTGTTACACAAAAAAAAGTTATTTCATGTATTGACATGTCACGAGTGAATGCCTGTGTTGTGCAATACAGCAATGAATTGATGATTACGTTCATGAAGATATTTTAATAAAATTATTTAAAATTTGCTGTCTGGGTGAATAAAAAACATCTTGGATCAAACGCTATACATTTAACCCTATAAGCCATGCAACTTTTCTAAGCAGTGAGGGACGTCGAAGAGCTCAAGTTCTAGTGGAAAATCACAATTTTGTTCAAGACGCCCCGCGATCATGTGATTTTTCAAAGAAGAGTCGGTGTACTTGGGAAAGAGGAGGCAGCTGGGTTTCTTCTCACCTCAGGAATTGAACGCACTGTTTAGTTTCATGTTTTAGTACTTTTCTTACTTAAAAAGGCCTTTTTGCAGCGGAACGGCTGCATTTAAATGTTTTAGAACATTGAAGACCGCAGCGTTCTGTGATTGAATTCGTTTGTTTGTTTGTGTTTGTGTTTGCTTTTCTTTTGGAAAAGAATTTAAAGAGAAGACCGTCACAATCAGAGCAAGGTAAGCACTGTTTGATAAGATTGCGTCGCGTTTGGTGTGTTTTGTGTCAAATTAAAACACATTTGCGTTCAACACGTGCGCATGTGCCAATAAAAGTTGATGTACATTCCATCGCCTGAAGCAAAAGTACAAACTCTTAGCTCCTGAATATTAGTTAGTGCACGGTGATGTACCTGTAGTGGCCAGTCTTATAACCTAATTAATATTCATGAGCCAAGCCTTCCCCTTAGGACTTGTCAATTCGTCAGCTGATCACGCCCTTGTAGTTTAGCGAATCAAAGGCATTCACTCGTGACGTGTTTCTCTGTTGCGTTTTGTGAGGCGTGTCAACCTAAAAGTAGCATAATATATTGCTAAATTTGGGTTTAACTTTGGTTACGTAGTGCAACTCATTACTCAGTTTTGCAGCTGAGGGCGAGAGCAGAATGTGTTTTTAACTGTATTTGTTTGCTATCATGTCAAATGTGCTCTTACTATCTTAAATGGGCGATTGTGGTGCCTGGGACCCCCAAAATCATCCATTTCAAATACACACACTCCCAAAAGACAGCTGATGTTTTTTTTTTTGTTTGTTTGTTTTTCACATAAAGGTAATGTAATTATAGTACATTGATGTAATATTGTAAAGTTTTATGGGTGTTATGCAGGAAAAAAAGAGGAACGATTTGTGATGTATGGTAATTGTGTTATTACTCCTTACCTGTTGATGGCACTCTCTGTCTAGAGATGTGTTGTGGATGCTATAACCTGTTGGATAAGAGAATCAGTGTTGCCAACTTAGCAATTTTGTTGCTAGATTTAGCAACTTTTCAAACTACCATAGCAACTTTTTTTTTCAAGAAGCAGCTAGCAACAAATTATTAGTGTGTTATGTGTAAGCCAGGTTAAAGAGATGGGTCTTTAATCTAGATTTAAACTGCAAGAGTCTGTCTGCGAGTGACTCAAATGATAAAAAAAGGTACATATTTTCATCTAAATTACACAAAAAGAGGAAACCATTGAATAGCTAGCCATCCAAGCAGCACATCAACCTGGAGAGAGCTGGAGAAAGATGCCAGTACAAACATCAAATGTGCATTAATTTGCTAGTTCCAATTAGTCAATAATAAATGCACATTTATGACACAGCATGCTATTAGCTTGTATATATAATTGTTGTTCAGTTAGGTACACTGTAAGAAAAAAAAAATATGTGGAAAAACTGAAAAGGTACTAGTTATTTTCTGCCAGGATGTTATCCATTAAGTTGTAATGCTGTAACCTTAAAACGTAAAATGCAATGTGGAATTTAAAACACAGGTAAAACACCTGTGAAAAATAAATACGTATTGTTCCTTCATATAAACAGTACATTGTGTCCTATTTTTTACAGACTTTTGTGTAGCACACTAACTAACTACCAGCACACTGCTTAAAACTATCATTGTTCAGAATATGCAGTTTTACTAGTTAATAAGACAATACATAAAATGTGTAACTTAGCAATTTTGTTGCTAGATTTAGCAACTTTTCAAACTACCATAGCAACTTTTTTTTTCAAGAAGCAGCTAGCAACAAATGCAGCTATTTTTAAAAAAGTTTTTGGCAACTTTTAGCAACTTTTGCAAAGTGAAGTCAAGTCAAGTCACCTTTATTTATATAGCGCTTTTAACAATACAGATTGTGTCAAAGCAACTGAACAGCATTA